GTATATATATATATATATAAACATACCCATACCTACATACATACACATACACAGACATATAAATATATACATATATCTATACCCACACATGTGCACATACCATTCAATCACTGTCCGACCAGAAAACCCAGGATTTAAACATCTTACCATCTAGAATTCTGAATTCTCCACTTTCCCATGGATGATCAACAAGCATTGTGGGAGATGTAGTTCATGGCCGATGCTGGCTTTAAAGCAGCGTATTTTAAGACATTATTACTGAGCTATCCAACTAAACTGCTTAGTTACTTAAAGCCAGCAGCTCAGGTGCAGGATAAATAATATTGTCTTTCACCTTTTAAATGTGTTTGTGTTGTTTCATCTAATCATAAATTAAAAGTTTACCATTGATATAAGAAACAAATTTCATATTAAGTAAAAGAAAGTTTTTTTAAATGAAAAAACTAAGTAAACTGTGAGCCAAAAGCAGCCTGTTTGCCTTGAGTTTGACAGTGTGCTGTATTGTATTAAATTCATGCATTCATGAATGAGGATGTGGTGAACAAGAAATTCATATTTTCATGATCAGGAAACATTTATTACTAACCAGATGAATGAGTCAGTCATTTCCCCTCTCTTCTTTTATTTCTCATCAGGTATGACATCATGAACTTTCAGCACGTAGGGCCAGGACTTTATGACTACATTAACATCGGCTCCTGGCACGAGGGCTTGCTCAGTATTGATGATGAGATGATCCAGAAAAACCTCAGTGACATGGTCCGCTCAGTCTGTAGTGAGCCCTGCTCCAAAGGAGAGATCAAGGTCCAGAACACGATTTATATTTTTTACAAGAATCGTTGCACTAAATGACCTAAGACTCCCCAAATTTAAGATTTCATTTAAGTTATATTTCTGTTACAAGTCATAAATGTAACTGTGTAAGTTCAATGTGTAACTGCTGAGTCAGCAGTCCTACTTCAAAATTTCCACTAGTTTAGTCAATTCATTCAGGCTGGTACAGCTTTGACTTTTGGTTTATACAACCTTTATAATCATAATAATTATTTAATTTTCTTTAAAAATTTCTATAATAAAAATGCATCAAAATTTCTTCAGATCCCTCAAAACATTTTGCTTTTTAAAAACTTCAGTGTGTTTTTCTTGTTTCTGGTTTTATTTTTTGTTCGGCTAATTTAAGCTACTGTTTTACTTAAACTTTCAGCTACTGTTCTGCTTGTTTAAACTTTATTTGTTTGTTTAAGCTTTTAGCTACTGTTTTACTTAAGGTTATTACTGATTTGCTTGTTTAAGCTTTTAGCCACTGTTCTGCTAGTTTAAGCTCTTAGCCACTGATCTGCTAGTTTAAGCTTTTAGCTACTGTTCTGCTAGTTTCCTGATGCCTGAGGTCTAACAGGATAATATATCCAGTCAGTCTCCCTTCAGCTGCACTAATATTAATTTTATTTGACGTATCTTGTTTCTCAGGTCATAAGAAAGGGAGAAGTGAGCTGCTGCTGGATCTGCACTTCTTGTAAAGACAATGAGTTTGTCCAGGACGAGTTCACCTGTAAGGCCTGTGAGCTGGGCTGGTGGCCTGACTCACAACTGGAAGGTGGGTTTCTCCTCCATTTATCTTTACTCTTTACTATAAAACATTATTTTCTTTAAATATGAAGTGACCTGTTGTGACCAACCACAGAATTTTGACCAAAAAACTCCAATTTCACGTCATAATTTTTGGTGGCTTTTCACTATGGAGGTTACAGAATCACCTCATGGTCCAAAGTCTTATGCTGCGTTCACACTGAACACGATTTCAGCATCAGGAGCATCAGGTTTACATACAAAGTCTATGGTGGACGCGCTTCAATCAGCGTCGGAAAGTGCTGCGGCACCTCAAGCGTGATTAGAGCAGCGCGATTTGAACGATTTGAATGATTTGAACGATCTGAGCGTTCGACGCGCTGAGGCGCAAATCACTGGAAAATCTGAACTTTTGCAGCTCGTCGCGCCGCGTCAACCAATCAGAGAGACTCCACTGTGTGACGT